CCCGCTGCCGCCGCCCGCCGCTGCCGCTGCTGTTGCCGCTGCCGCCGCTCGCCGCTGCTGCCGCCACTCGCCGCTGCTGCCGCCGCTCGCCGCCACTGCTTCCTCGTTTCTCCGTCAGCAGGTTTATACTGTTAATGTGATTATATTTATTAATTATATTATATATTTTTATATTTTTATTTAAAATTTTAAATAATTATATTTATTAATTATATTTTATATTTTTATATTTTAGCGCCTCGCTTCGCTCGGGCGAGCACCTGGGCGAGCGCCTAGCGCCTCGGGCGTTTTTGGACCTTGGCGCCTAGCGCTTTTTAAATCACTGGTTTTCACCCCAACTTTGAGTAATTCTATAATAGATTTGGTCGCCTCTAGGATTGTACCGTCTTCTCCATCAACCCGACCGCCTACTCCACCGAGTAGCAAAGGTACAGCACCGCGTACTGCCTGCTTCATTCCTTGGTCGTGCACTCTTGCATGACCCGAAGTCCTTCACTTTCGGCCATCTTGATGAGAAGCACGTTGACACCGGACTTACGAAGTTCCTTGGCCTCTGCCCTTCAGCCTTGCCTCGGTACTTGGAGTTTGCCTCTGCATGCTCCACCTCCTCGGCCCGTTTCACGACCAAGCGCTCTCCCTCCATGAGAGCAAGGGATCAATGACTTTCACGGAAGTCCTGCCTCTGCGGTACCATGGCGTTGCCATGCCCATGGCCCTACTATCCGTCGCCTCGCATCTGCATCCCTTTTCTTCACGATCAGTAGATGTCTCTATGGCACTCCTCCGAGTCCACCTCCATTCTAACTGATGCTTGATTTTGGGTAGCTAAGTCCCTCTGGACTCGTCGTCGCTTCCTCGCCCCTTTCGACCCCCTGCTTCAACACCTCTGTGTTCTCCAAGCAGCTCCCTTTGGTCGATGGAAAGACAGACTGCAACTCCCATGCATGGCCTCTGCCATCACGTTGTAGGATTTGCACCGATTCTGTTATCCTTAGCTTCCTTGGTAGCAACGTTTGCTTACTCGACCTTGTCCTCTGACTTGTCAGGCTCTCTTAAGCGAATATGGGCTTTGGAGCAGTCCAACTCTCTAGCTGCTTCGATCATACCTCTGCATGATCAAGTCCCTCCCATGGGACTCACTGGTACTTGCATTCGAACTTTTCCCTTGGTGGAACACAGCCCCCATATGCTGATGACCAAGGCTTTCATTCGATGCAAAATTCGATGCACGCACGGAAGACCCGCCTTTACGGTACCATGGCCTTCACTCCTTGAATCCATAGCCCTTCTTACCGTCGTGTTGTTCACCGAAGTGGAGCTTCCAGTAGCTCCCGATCATACCTCCATATGATCTAGTCCCTCACGGGACTATGTCTTGTGCATTGCATTGCCACGAACTGTTCCACCACGATCCGCTGCACCATGTCGCCTCCTGGTGACATCTCTATTGCATTCTTATCGTTATGGGATGAACTCGAATTGTGATCCCTTCATATGTGGCCTCTGCCAATATATCGCAGGGTCTCTTCCACCTTCGATTTTGTTCGCTCCTTTGGCAATCGACCTTCATCCACCCACTCTTGGGTCACACCTAGATGAAGCACTGCTATAGGATAGTCCGTCGCCTAGTAGCTCCCAAAGTCCACCGACTTCGCTGAAAATGGTGCACCATTGTCTGGATCCTGGGCCTCTGCTCCTACCAGCACAATCTCCGCTACGCACCGCTTCCTGCCTTGCAACTTGATTGGTAACACTGTGGCATATTCTTCAAGAGTACCCGCCTTCGCATCCTCTTGCCCCGTGCCAAGGCCTTCTGAACCCAACTTCGCCTCCGCAAGTTGAGTCGTCTTAGTTCCTCCATCAAATGCTTTTCCGAGATAAGGTGCATGTCCCCAGAAGCTCCCTTCGTCTTTGGCACCATACAAGATGAGTCTGCTCCAACAGAATGAAGGACCCATGGAACAACATGATCCTGCTCTTGCCTTTGCAAGAGTTCATGTCCTTGACCTCTGTCCAAGGAAAGCACTGTGCCTCTGCTCCATGTTCCATCTTCTATGTTGGCTCCCTTTATGCGGCTTGTGTACTTCGCCAAGTTACACCCAAGTTGCTCCGCTCCTCGTTTTGCATTGAGTTGATGGTGGCCCTCGTGCCCACCATTCCACGGGTCAGCCCTCCCTTAAGTCCGATCTCCATATTGACTCTAAGTGTGCCTACCTGTGTGTTGCTTTGGGTCGCTCCCCCACTTGATCTCGCAATGCATCCACCAATGCATTCTCTCAAGCGAGATCATGCGACGACTCCTTGCCGCTTGCTTGGTCCATTGAGCTTCGTGGAGTTATTGTTGTTGAGGTACTCCTCCTCAACATGTGCGGTCTGTCCCACATGATTCTCCCTCTAGAGAGCCGGGACTTATCCCTCCTGGATAACTGTCCCGTTGGAGCAACATCTCTCTTCGTTTCGGAGACCACCATCCCCTTGGACTACTCCGATTTGCTGAACAAACTGTGCATTGTTCTGCCTCCTGCAAACGTTACGATTCCACGTCAATACAACCCCCGCTGCACCACTCAAGGCCTAGCAACATACTGAACTCGTTGCACACTTCAGCCTCCTACGGACGTATCCTTCACATGCCGAAGAGAAAGTTTCAATGCTCCATGGTGCCGAGTTTCGTTCACCTTGGGATGGCCGCGAACATTCCATCGTCCGCATATAAGCCCATGCATGAGTACCGAATTCTTTGAGTTAGCAATTCCCCTCACCTCTGTGAGCTTTGCACAACTCTTTCGGTCGCTGAGCAACTCATTCCACCTTGCATGGTCTTATCCTTTACTAAGCGCCTCGCTTGTCTTGAGCAACATCAAGTATAGTTGTCAACGTTGAGCCGTAGCTCAAACTCAGCTATCCCAACCTTTGTGCGCTCCGCATTCTTTCAAGCTTGCATGTTCTCGTGGTGCCTCTTGCGTGAAGGGTTGGCCATTCCTCTGAATGCCAATCTCAGATGCTCGTTCCTTCAAGCGACTCCTTTTCTCTACATCTCCATGCCCGTTTTCCCCCAAACGGTCGCGCGTGTGCTGACTGCCCTCAACGCAGCCCCGCTAGGTCCCCCACATTTGCATGCTAAGTGTTTCTATGAGTGCTTGTCCCGCTTTGATACCATATATCATGGACTTAGTTGGTTTTGCCTAAGTCGTGCGGCACCCTTGCGTGTCCGTCCGCAAAGGTCAGCCTCCCCAAAGCCTCCCACGGTCCCTTAGGACCCACAAAAGAGAGAACGGGTTAGAGAAAACGCATCATTCAGGATCCACAAGTAAACATTTTCGAAAACACTTCATAGACAATGCAAATTACAAACAGACTGTACAAGCTCTAAACAGTTGCACAACAAAGGGTCAAAATGGTCCATTACAGACCGAAAATCTCTCACAAGTGTCCACATGACACAATCTTTATTTACAAGCTTAAAGCGGCCATCAAACCCAACTAAAATGGGACTATTAAGCCTTTGGTCGTCCCTCTACATGCTGTGCAAAGTATGAACATACCAAAAGATACAGACATACATAAGCATTACATCAAACATCCTGTTTCGAAGTTTTTCCGTGACACTTAGGTAAGCTGTTTGGTAGCAGCAGAGTCATGAGGTTATCAACTGATTTTCTAGTAGGAAGATATGTTTCATAAATTTAAATTGTTTGGTTTTGTTCAAATTGCAGTCACAGTTGTAGATCCACGTAACTTATTGTTCACAATATCAATGCTTCTTTATTGCTTGCATTTAATTACCTTGTTGGTATGCCATTGTGGTGTTCCACGTGCGTTGGCATTATGCCATTTAACATAGATCAACATATGCCTCTACTTCCAGGAATGTCAACCAGCATGATACATGCTTGCATTGAAAGCTATGGTTCATACATTCCCCGGTTGTTGATAGTAGTCCAAGCAGAAAAATGAAGACAATTTGTGAGGATGAAGGAAAAAAGAAGAGCAAAGAGAGAGAATAAGAAATGGATGTTGCTTTAACTAAGGCAATTTGCATCTTTTCTCATGATATGATGGTCAAAGAAAGAAGAGCTTCTGATATATTCTTTAATTACTCTGTTTTTAAGGGAAAACATAGAATGAGACTAACTTTGCTTAAGGATGAGACTGTTTTTCATTTGGAAAAGACATCATGAAAATGAATGTAGCTTTTGTTAGGATGGTGACAATCCTCAGATGTATAACTACTAATTGTCTGGTTGGAGCTTGCATCAATGGGGATAAGAAAAATAGTTTAGGTGATTTTGACTTTTCAAAGGAATTCTATATGATGGTAGTGGGGTATTCAAGGTACTCCAATGTTAAAAATGAAAGAGACCAGCAGAAGTAGCAGCTTATGTCGGGACCTTTAAAATCAATAAAGGACAAGGTTCTGGAGAAAAGTTAGATGGGTTTCAAAGGTTGTCTGTTTTAAGATCCTCCGGTGAAGCCTGTGCACAGTCTTGTTTGTCGTAAGCCTGTTTTCGGAAAGAAAAAGCATTTAGCTATCAGATGAAATCTATCCACTAGTGGAACAATCCACTAGTGGAACAATCCACTTTTTTCCACTTGTATGCGGTCTGTTACTGGATATATAATTATACCATTTTCCGTGGTGCTGCATAGAAGTGTAATAGAGAGGAATGTGCAAGCTTGACAGTTGGCATTCAGCAGGTTTTTGAAATTTTTTTTTTCGTATTGTTTAGATCTCTTCTTGGCAAAAGAAACAATCAATTATTCATTAATCTTGCACATTACATCAAATGATGTTGAGATTACTATAATCCAGTAGCATAGGGTCTCCCCAAAAGCTGTTAATACCTGGCACTCTAGCAGAATTAGCGAATCTGTGATCGATCAGATTTACTTCTCTAGGGATTTAACTCCAATTGAGAACATTAACAGTTTGAGCAAGAAAGTGTTGATCACCCAGAATCTGTGAGTAGTGAGTCAGTCCTGATCCAAAATGTTCCTATACCTCAGCAAACTGTGCATCCAGCAGCTATCAAAACCTCTTCCTGATTCCTGAAAACAAAACCAGTGCCTGCAAACTCGCCAGTAGTATTAAAAGATCCATCACAGTCCATAAATGAATATTGTAAAGGTAAATGAGTTTTCCGTGTCACAGCAATATCCACACTTGGCTCACGAGAAATGTGATTGATTGTACCACACAGTTAAGATAAAGGTAGCCCCTTCCCATCAAGATCTTTTTACATCTAGCTTTTTTGATAAACTGAATGGTCAACACCGATTCCTTTCTTCTAGTCTGAATCATCTTTATCCTAATATGAACCTAAGGCCTGGCTGGTATGTGGTGTAGAAATCCTAGGATATCTGTGTAAATTTTGAGAAGGGATTCAATTTCTGACAGAAATCCCAGTCTTATTTTTAGCTTCGAAACCCCAACTTCAGTTTTCCAAATTCGAAATTTGTGCTTGGCTTGGGAATTTCATGCATGTTTTGTGTTTATCCTGGGATTTCCAAGGAACTAATTTGAAGGTGTTTGGATGAAACCTTGAGGTTTAAAGGGAAAAAACCCCCATACTGATATTAGGGCCTTGGTCCCTTTTCTCTTATTGTTTATTTTCAAGGGTTGAGTTTATGCACAATGCTGATCTTTGATATTCTTGTCAGCGCTAAGAGAATGACTCTCTTTGACAGGTTTGTCTCTCACATATCTTGTCTTTTTCCTGATGAATGGACATGGACAACCTGCTCTGCTCTACTTGGTTCCATGTACCTTAGGTGATTAACTGGATCTCTTAGCATTTTAACAAAGTCATTGGTTATTTATCTTTTTGCTAATGTATAGAAATTATGTTGGTCAAAATTGCTGACCTTCTGTGAGGTTGAGTTGCCAGGTCTTACTGTTGTATTGGGTGGAATTAGAGGAGAACTTAGCAACCTGTGGAATTATGGAGAAAAACAATCCGAAGTTAGTCCTGCTGGACAAGTTTAACAATTGTTTCAATGAACTCTCATTCAAGATGATGATAAAGCTTTGGCAAACTTGCATCATATTCTCATGGAAAATCATAGGCACGGCAATGCCTGATTTAACCTGTCAGGTGCGGTTTGAGATGAGAACCACCAACAGCTACTCTACTTGCCAGGAATATGTAGCACCGATATGGAATATGAGGTAACAATGTCGACAAGCTCGTCTATTCTTGATATTTACTCTAATGAAATATAACATGTTTTGCTCCTGAGAAGTAATGTAATCCCCCCACATTCTCTTTTGACATCTTCTGTATTCTACAACATCATCTCTACTTTTTCTTTAGTGTAATGTTGTAAAGTTAATTCATCAATATTTTGCCGGAAAATCTGTCATTTTGTTCTGCCGCTTCCATGAGCACTGATAACTGCATTCTGTATTTTCTCGCTGATCTGCGTGAACTTTTTACCTATATTTGGCTCAAGGATAGTTCTGTCTTCTTTTTGAAAAGTTTTGAACATAGGTCAGGGATTGAACTCTTTTAGAACTCTTTCACGAGTTTTTCTATCGCAAGATAAAACAAGACACCAACCATCATGAACTGCTGCTATGTCAGCCTTGATGATTAAGGGTCTAGAGTTTGACATGCGATGCCACTTTATTTTGCGTTGGAAATAAATGGGATATTGCAAGAGAATTCTATTTTGTTCTTTATGTTCTTGCAAAATTATGTTTTACTGCCTCCTCCATTGATCATATATCACTTTTTCTAAACAATTACATTTCATTCTATGTTTCCTTTTGACTGTTTTGTTAGAGAGATATCGTGATGTTTTTTCATAATATCAGAAATGTATCCTCTCCTTTACACAGAGATTTATGTTTTATAGTCCCCTCATCTTTCCCCTTGTTTTTAATGTCTTATTTCTTAAAGTTTCTCCTTCCTCACTTATAATCATAAGGTGAGATGGATGCCTTTTTATTTTTCAGTAAAAAAAATAATAATAATGACATGTGCATTTCACATTTTGTGCTTCCTCACTTGAAATTATAGGAGGAATAGATTTTAGCTCAAAATGTCCACTGTCATGCATAGCAATGACAAGGGATGAAATATAATGCGTATAACAAAAATTATGTCGAGACGTCAAATGTAATTAATTATATCAGGGGGTTCAAATGAATATTACGATAAAGTTGGAGCGTGTGAATACTGGACCGGAAAGATGAGACGAAGACGAGCGTATGGAGATGTCAAAGACTCACCGATTAAGCTTATAAGCATCAGGAGAACAAACAAACAAACAAACAAACAAAGAGCATTGACATTTTTATTGATATGGAACTGATACCTAATAATGGATCTGACTTACGGACTTCTTTTACCCGACCTTACTCAGGAGAATAACAAGGAGCATTGACCTTGTTCTCGATACACCTATAAATGGATTGACATATCTATGCCGACATACACACCGATCAGAATGGCAAAAAAGAAGAGAATAAGAGGAAGAGGAAACCAGGAAAAAAAAGAACGGCAGCGGGCGACAGCGACAAGAAACAGGTGGTGTTACGATAAAGGCAGCTTCGGGCATGGGTGCAAGACAGCAGACGCAAATTACTTCGGGGCTTTGGAAACCATATGATAGAAATAACAAGGAATGAAGGATTTGACGTGTACCTCAAAACGGCTACAGGAAGAACAAATAGGAAGACGGATAATGCCTTTTGCCCTCGGTCCCACAGCTGAGCAACGATCTCAACATTTGGCCAAGAAAACAGATCACAGATTCCATCCCCACTTTCTGAGTGCATGAGCACAAAGCTCAGGAGATAATAACGAAAATAAAAATAAAAATAAAAAAGCCAAAAAAAAATATTGACAGACAAAAGATAAAAGACTTCCTCAGAGGAAACTGTGCTTAATCCTGCCAAGTATAAAGATTCAGCGATGCGATGAGATCATGCCTTGGCTGCAGCCCCTAAAAGGGGAAACTGGGCAGGATCCTCAAAATGGAGTGCGGTGGCAGCATCATGGCCATGGCCTCCCCGCCCCGAATACCCACCTCTATATCCACCACGATCTCCACGACCACGACCTCTCCCACCAGAACCACGTCCACGACCAGATGACGGCCCAATGTACCTCTCTCCCTCCGCAGGTTTTAGAAATTCGTTTATGCTCACCGACTGCAACAAAGAGAAAATTCATCACAACCACCAAACTTAAGTATGGGTAAGAATGATTCAGACATGATCATTGTCATTTCTAATTAGATGCAAATAAGGTAATATTAATAATATGCAGGTACACGGTACTAAAAACAAGTCAGCTAAAAACATATACTAATACTATTGGAGGAGGAGATGGATATAAACCAATAGATATTAGCACACAGATAGTAAGTCTATAAAATCGATCGCAGATTGTAGAACAGTTTCTTTGCTGTGACCTAGAACATTTAAGAAAAAGTAAAAAGAGTTCTTAAACAAAGGAGAAATTACAAGTACACCCGATGAGTTATCAGTGATTACTTAGGTCAGTTCCCCTATATAACATCATCTTTTATTGGATGTCTAAGATAGACATCAGATAAAAGAGTGTCCATGCAAAAAAAACAAGTAATAGCATGCAGCAACTTTGGATGAAGAAACCAGAAGATCAATTTGAAAAGATCGAAATAATCAAAACCAGCCAGAGTAAGAAGTTGCATAACATTATATAGAAAGATCAAACAGCATTTATGGTATCATTTATAGGCTAAACACAATCAAAACGCAAATGCTTAAAAGTATTAAAAGTAAACTCATATTCCTAATTGGAGATGCACACAAACTCAGTTATATATTGTTACATCTCCAATGTGGGACACTTGGTTTTTGTTACTTCTTTATTTGATTATAATATAGTTGTGTATATTTAAATACACCTTTAATCTTGTTCAGTAATTTTATATAACCATAATAAACAGTAAGTAGTTGCATAAGAAATCTTCAAACAAAAACAAACAAAAAAATCTATACAGCTAAAAAGTCACCTGATTATACTATGATATCCAAAACTGTGAAGATTCAAAGAAGGCAAACTACAGATTGAATAAAAAAACAAAAAAGGGGGAAAAAGAAGAAACTAAGGCTATAACCAGGTCTAGTTATACCTTACGAACTTTTTCTTCTTTTTCAGTATTATCCTTCTTCTTCAGCTTTTCCTTCTCAATTTTCTGCCACCCAGCAGAGTATGTGCTTTTTAAGTTAACTAGAATCACTAGACGTCAATGAACTACTATCGCAATGAGTTTAATAGAATCACGATATATATGAGCTAACCAGTTTAATAAAATCGTCTTCTTTCTTTCTCTCAACGAGCTGCATACTCTCAAAATCCTTGTCAACAGCCACCTTTCTCTCTTCAATTTTCAGAGAAACTAAAGCCTTTCTTTTCTCTTGAAGAACCTTTGCATATTCATGGAGGGTCATTTCCTGGAAATAAAGAAAGCAGCCTTTAGAAATATAGTAATTATTCTCCCAAACCGTGACAAAACTCAACTTAGATCCTACAACTGCAACAACATGGTAACCATGTTATTAGACATAATGAGCTTAGAATAAGAGAAAATAAACAGAAGGCGTAGAGCACAAGGCCCCTGCCAGTTAGATATTCACAGCCTCACCCCTAACTGCAACAAGACTTATTCCATTAATCAACCCTTGCACCTAAAACACAATATTACATCCTTATCATTTTGACAGAAATATCTTCTACTTAATTTTAAAGTGCAACTAAAACTCAGTTTTGTTATGAATAATCACTATACATTATCCTCTTCCTTGGTATTAGTCTCCACAAGAGCCTCTTGAGCAACCAATTGCTTCTGATCTGCATTGTCTTCCTCTGCCCCCTTCGGGATATTGGTAGTTGCAGGCAGGTTCCTGATCCAGAATTAAGTCAATGTATTTGAATATGAATATAACACTGAGAGTTAAGAGAAAAACACAAGTAGCCATTTTGTTGTTATCTAAGATCAACAGAAAACAAGAGATAGTAATGGCACCAAAAGAACCTTTGATGTGATATTCTGCCATGCTGTAATATAGTAATCATTAATATCACAATAGAAGAGGTAATACAAACAAGTATAAAGAATAAAAAAAATTTTGCTTGAAAAATATTATCTTCAAGCAAGAGCTAAATGCATCCATTCTTCTTTTCAGCCCTTTTACAGTGATAAAACCACCATTGCTAAAAGCTCAATCAACAACAAATCAGCATATAGTGATAGAAAGATAACACACAAGGAATCTATCACCCAAAAGTGCAAAAAACAATAATGCACGAGCAAGTGGATCTATAGATCGTTTCCTCGTGTTGCTTTACTACATCTATTTAAGCATAAACACTTACATGCCTAAAAATGAAAACATCTACAACAAATAATTCAAAAAAAAAAATCTTAAAGTAACCAATAACACACAAATAATCAATCACCTGAAAGTGCAAAAATCAGTAATGACAAGTGGATCTGTAGAACATTTCCTCATGGCGCTTTACTAAATCTATTTGAGCAAAAGGACTAATATGTCTAAAATTAAAAAATAATTTCGAAAAAATAAATCTTAAAATATCCAATAAATAAATTAATATTTTAACATAAGCAAACAGTCCAGGTGAAGAAAAAGTGACAATTGTGTTGATCCCTCAGGATGTTCCAGCTCATGTTAGCTTGTGTTTCATAAAAAAATCCTGCATACTTGAAACCTCTTGATTAAGATTATTCAAACCTAAGATTATTATGCAAATTAACAATAATAAATATTCATTAAAAACAAAGGCAAAATGTGAACCAAGGTCATTATTTGCCTCCAGGATGATATTAACAAAAAAAATTAATCATTCTGGTAATTAGCAGACAGTGCTTCATCATTTTAGCGCTAGAAAATCCTTTGAGAAGGTAAAATAATTCTTTGCTAAGAAGCAAGGATGTCTTCCACTTGCAATGATATAGCAGTTAAATACAACAAGCACAAGCATACCATCCAGATGCATCATCACCAGTGAGCGCATTATTCTCAGTTTGATCCTTCCCCTTGGGAGCATCCTCTTTAATTTGAGACTCATTCCATCCATCACTTTTCCCATCCAGGACAGGCTCCCTCTCCACATACCTCTGGCTAACACCACCTCTGTAACCATGTTTGCCTCCATCAAACCCCCTCCTTTCACGGCCCTCAGCACCTCTGAAGCGACGGTTGTCACTGTCAAAATTCTTTTCCTCCCATCCTGAACTCTTCTGCTCGTCGCCAAACTTCCTACTCTCATATCTGGGCTCACGGTTCTCCACAAGTTCGTATCTGCTGAGGGCGTCGTCCCTCTCATCCAGCCCATCTCCGCCCTTGCCCTGGATCTCCATCTCAGCACTATCAAATCCCTGGCCCTCATGGAAGCCCCTTCCCCTTCCACGCCCCCTTCCACCTCTGCCACCAGCATATCCCCGGCCACGCCCACCAGAATCACTTCCAAAACTCCTCAGGTACCCACTCGCAAACTTTACGGCGGCATCATCATCAGCACCACCGGTGCTACCAGATCGAAATCCAGTTCTCCCAAGTCCACGGCCACGACCGGCTCTCCCCCTACCCCTCTCCATCCGCTCTGGAATAAAAAGAATGAGGGATTCGGGAAAAAAAGGAATTAACAACCTAAAGAGAAACAATGATTTTGCAGCAAAGTCGAAGAATTGAACGAAGAGAAAGATAAATGGAGAATGAATTCACCAGGGGGAAGAGGCTTAGAAAGGAACCCATCGGTGCCGGTCCTGCTCTTCGGTTTCTCTTCCACCACTACACCCCCCGCCGCCGCCGCCGCCGCCGAGATCTTGGCCTCGACTTTCAGAAGGAGGGCTGCGACATCGCCGCCATCGTCGTCGTCGCCCAGGAGGGAGAACGGATTGTCCTGTCGAGCCATGATAACCTCGAAGTTTCCCCCTCCTATTCCTTTCAAACCCTAACCGTAGCCATAAGAGGAAGCTCCACGGGCGCCACCGCCGGAATCCTCTCTTTCTCTCCCTTTCTCCCTCCTTTCAGAACGTAACCCTAGCCCCAAGTTCAACCTCCATGGTCGCCGCCGAATGATCTCTCTCTCTCTCTCTTCTCTCTCTCTCTCACTCTCGGAGCCAAAGCACTGAACCGCCTCGCTCGTGTGAACTTTGTAGTACTTGAACACGAGCGACGCACGGACGCAGACGTACGTCGATGTCTAGGCTCGTAGCGCGTAGACTATGGTGGGGCTAATTACGTATTATTTCATTACTTACATATTAAAATTTCGATTCTTAAAATTAAAATTTTATATTAAAATTTTTATAGTTAAAAAAAATAAAATATCTAACTTCAATTATCCTAATATCATGAATTTTACCAACGAGTATAAAAATAATAATTTTAATGTTCCAATTATGTTATTTTATAATGACAAACGGATCACGGGTGATTGTTGTGGATGAGAAGGAAAAGCGATGACGAGAGGTGAGATGATAACACGGATGTTGATGCTTTTCATCAATTACGTTGATATTGATATAGATATAGAACGATGTCACTTTTCCTCGTATCGTTGTCATTGTTGATGTCGAGCGACTCTTTCGTCGCTTTGCATCTACGTCGACGTCGATGCAGTCGTCAAGTAACGACGCAAATGTAGAGCACTAACACCTACGTCGATGCCTCACCTCTTAGTATCACTCTTTTTCCTTATCCATAATCACCACTCATGACTCCCAATGACACCATCATCGTTCGTCATCATCGAAAACATAATTAAAACATTAAAATTATCTTTTTACTTATTATTTTTATGTTTTCATCGATAAAACCAATAACATTAGAATAAATGAAAATAGCTCTTTCACTTTATCTAACTAGTGTGAATAAAAACAGATAATTTTCGAATACACCCCTCTCTTTGATTTCCATATCTGACCCCCATCAATTTAACTAAACTTCTATACTAATACTATCTAAACCCTAATATACAATAGCAGATAAGCGCCGTCAACGTTAATCATCATTTACACTCTTTTTTATGATATACAATTATATTTTGGATAATAATTATGATAGATATTATATATATATATATATATAATCTAGACTTAATTTTGAGGGACTTAATCTCCAGATATAATATAGCAATTTTCATATTTACATCTCTGAATCCAAGTTTTATTTATATATTATTGTAAAATTTTTGCCAATGATACAAATATCCTCTGATGATTATTCTGATAGCAAAATTAATAATAAATATATCCTGGATAGTTATAATAATGATGTTAAGGAGACATCATGGGGTTTTAGCACAATCCATGTACTATCTAGACATTAAGTTTACTTTAGCCATTTAAATTTACACTTATATTTAAATTTAACTTTTAGTATCTTAATGTCAATGTGGGACTTGCAGGAAATGGCAGTTAGCTTGACAGTTAAAAGATTTTAGTATCACTTACTGGTTGTAAAAAATATATATATATCGAGCTAAAAAATAGATATATATTAAATTTTGCATTTAACACTATATCCCTACTAAATTAAAAACATTTATAATATATATGCCAAATATTTAGTTAAAAAGCAAGATTTTTGGTATCAAATTCATTCTTCTTTTGTTTTCTATACCGACCATTAGCATGCATTTTAAAGAGAAAAAAACAAATATTGTATACGTACCCATCTTGATCCGGTCAGATGCTAACATGTATTATTCTTCACCTTGATTTCCTTACAGCTATGGACAGACAGTTCACGCCTCACCCGAGATGTGTTCACCTCGACGAGGGAAGAACGTGCAGCACCGATCAGATCCCGACATGCGTTCACCTGGGTTTCCTTCAAGCGAACAGTTGGTGCCTGAGCCTCTGCCGTGAGCATTTCATCGAACAGCAGAGTGACCCATACAAGGAGGAAGAAGGTCTTGCGAAAAATTCAATCTTCCCTCGTAAATTGGTCGGTGGCCTATTCTTGATGACAAACCCAGCATTTCATCGAACACACAAGACGGAGCAGCATATGCATGATGACAGGCTGAGCATTTCATCGAACGCTCTGTCTCCATGTGTTCCCTCCTATAATTGGTTGATCAGTAGCCCCTGATCGAGACCTCCAACTGCTCCAGCCTCTTTGCAAGCTCGTGCTTCCCACAATGCTTCAGTCCATCCACCACGGAGTCGAAGCTCTGTGGCATCGGCACCAACCCCATCTCCGTCATCTCCACCAAATAGTTTGCTGCCTCCACGAACCTCCCACCTCGAACACACATTTTCACAAGCATTGTGTATACAGGCCGGTTCGGCGGGTGCCCCTTCACCTTCATATCTTTGAAGAGACCGAACGCATCACTGAATCTCCCTGCTCGGCACAATGCCTTGATGATGGCCGCGTACAAGCTCGGAAACGGCTTGTTTCCGTCCTCCACGGCGCAGTAGAACAACCTAAAGGCCTCCTCGATCTTCCCCAGCTTCGACACTGCCGGGATCAAGATCTTGTAGGTCGAGATATCCGGGCAGAGCCCCAACTCGCTCGCGTCCTGGAGCAATCCCACGCAGAAATCGATCTCGCCGGATTTGCAGACCGCCTCCAGAAGGGAATTGAAGGTGGTGACGTCCGGCAAGACGCCTTCTTTCGTCATCCGCCGCACCATCTCCTTGGCTGCCTCGAGGCACCCTGCGTTGACAAGGCCGTCGATGAGCAGGTCGCGGCCGCGGACGGGGGGCTTGAAGCCGCGGCGGTTCATCTCCTCGAGGAAGTCCTGGGCTTCTCGGAGCTTACCGGCGGCACACCAGGCATCGACGAGGGTAGAGAAGGTCTGACGGTCGGGGGGGACCTGCTTGCGGGCCATGCGGCGAATGAGGGCGTACGCGCCGTGGAAGTTGCCGACGCGGCAGAGGGCGGAAAGGAGGGCATTGTAGATGGCGGTGGTCTGGGGACAGTCGAACTTGGGGAGGCGATTGAAGACGTCGACAGCGAGATCGGGGAGAGCGGCTTGGCCGTAGGCGTCGATGACGGAGGCGAAGGTGGAGGGCAGGAGAGGGAGGGACAGCGAGCGCATGTCGGCGGCGACGGACCACATCTGCGACCAGTGGCGGTGGCGGGCGAGGGGGAGGATGAGGGCATCGAACTCGGCGGCGGAGGGGCGGTAGGAGGGGGAGGTGCTGCGGGCCCAGGCGAAGAAGCGTAGGGCGGGGAGGGGGGTGGAGGGAGCGGCCGCGCGGAGGACGCGGAGGACGAGGTCCGGGGTGGGAGGGGGGAGGCGGAGGCGGCCGAGAGTGCGCTCGAGGTAGAAGTCGCGGCGGACGATGCCAGCGATGTGGTGGACTACAGCGAAGTAAGCGTCCTTCGCCGAGGGATAGCGGGGCAGAGGCAACGCCGGAGGAGCGAGGGTGTCGAGGTGGCGGAGAGGGGACAGAAGGAGAGGCAGATGATGGCGAATAAAAGGCGGCGGCGAGGATCGGCGGCGTATAAGCGGGACGGGGACGAACCGGAGCATCGGGTGGGGGCGTGAGGAGGCAGAAGCGGAGAGGGCGGCCCAAGGTCGACCAATATAACTCGGTCCGACATCAAACTCGGACCCAAATCGCGTTCTTGTACTCGAGCCGTGACTCGGTCCATGGCTTCTGAAAGCCGATCCATATGTTGACATGTTGATTCTAAGAAAGATGTCTAAAATGTAAGAAGGTAACAGAATATATATATATATATATATATATATATATATATAAAGATAAAGACTTTACGACAATGGCTCAATGAAATGAATAGTAACTGAGGACGAAGAGAATATAAGGAAGAAAATGATGAAGAAAACTACTAGAGAGAGATTAAAAAGGCCCCCTTGAAATAAATCAAAAAGAGGTAAATTACATTCAAGATTATTATAATTAATTAAAATAAAAAAATTATCCCCATTCCTAATTTTCTGATGGAACATGCAATAACTTGGTCATCCATAAACAAAATGGTGATTCCAGAACGTGTTTTTGAACAGAGTGATCTTGTCCAAGATGTGAATGATGACTTGAAATTTCCTGCTAAATAGGAACAGAACTTTAATCTTGTTTCTGTCCAAGACAAAAAGAAAAAGACGATGTACAACATATCATTTGGAATGCCTGTACATAACAAGGGAGATTGTCCCACACAGCTCATTGGAAGTCGAGACAGCACAATATGATTACCAGATGCAAACAGGCACAATTGCAGAAGCAGTTAGGAAATGAATGATTTAGGATTGATTTTGACTAGGGTTGAACCAAGAGGTGCAAAGGGGAAGAACAAAAGAAGAAAAAAAATAAGCTCAACTGTCAAATAAACCCAAAACCAAACGTTGCATCCATGTTTGGGACACTTTTCATGTGCATTAAAGTTTCAGCTCTACACCAGGAAGGTGCATCAAGCATACATGCTTCCACTTAGGCCAAACCATTGGGAGGGAGCAGATACGATGAATTGAGCTCCCTCATATATGTGATTGAAAGAATCTGCGAAACTCCTTAATGCCGATCATCAAGATCCATGCAATGTGTACCACAAAGCAAGAATAGTATCATGTTCTTTTCAGCCCAGCAAGTCCTTGAACAGGTTAGGGTTATTTCCTGTTGGAGTCACACCCACCTGCCTTGCTCTTGCATCCTTTCGAAGGGAATCTTGCGGAAATGGGCCCTTCTTAATTGATGGCACACTTGTTGCTGTATTTGAGGTTTTATCAACCGAATACATGTCTCTAGTAGTGGAACTTAGGGAACCACTGCTTGATCCACTCGGAGGTAGGTCTGTGTACGCTGCCGCCATCAGATCAGGCGTTTCGAAACCACTAGTTTTGACAGAATTATCAAGCGGTGATGGCATGGGTGTTGGCCCTACAAGCCCTTCCAACTGCTTAAAGGGATCGACAATCGTGGTGCTGGTAGGGTTTGGTTCACCCAGATCAAGTAGATCAGGGACAGAAGGGGCAGCCTTTTCCTTGGATGTTTCAGGACTACGGGATCTAGCCGCACCTGGTCTCTCAGCATTCCGTGTGTTTCCCTTAGGTGCCCTTTGGGTCGATGTTGCTTTCTTCTCAGTTTTACCAGCTGAACCACCAAAGAGTGAAGCTGCTAACTTTTGCTTTTCAGCTGAAACTTCCGGCTGTTGTCTCCTT